CTCTCCGCTCCGACTCCCCGCTGCCCCCTGGCTGCTGGCAGCGAAGTCTGCAAACCCCAGTGCGCCGCGGAGCTGGAAGCAGGGGTGACCGGGCAGACGGACAAACCGTGGCGCCAGATCACAAAAACCCGGCGGGGCGCGCGGCCTTCGCTGGGCGGGTAGTCTGCTGCCTCCACGCACGCCATGCCCCCACCAGCCCGGCGGTAGTGAGGCCCGCACCCTCTGGGTTGCCCTGGGGTGGGGGCCACTCTGCCCAGCTGCTGGGGCCCTTCACGGGTGGCATGAGGATCCCAGCGCCAGCACCCGGGAAGCGGAAGCGGTGGGTGCAGTATTTAAGGTGCACCCTGGGGCAGTGGGGAACCGCAAAGCCTTGGGAGGGGCAGGCGTCAACCCTCAATTCCTGGCACTGACCCCGGGTTTTCTGAAGGCAGATATGGGTGTGAGGTGTGCCTGGCAATGCACGCTTTGTCGGTGCAAGCGAGTGTGCCCACTGGGCAGGAGCTGCGTGTAGGTTTGGGGCTCAAGCCTGGTGGGAGATGCTCACTAGTCTGTGGGTGTGCTGTGGGAGCAGGCATGTCCCAGGGACCCTGGGTTGCTGGGGCCTGGTACTGTAGGCTGTCCCTGGGTGGAGCCCCGTCCTGGTGCCAGGCGCGAGCTGCCCCTCCTCCCAGCCCTCTGCGGCATCAGCTCCAGGACACACCTAAGTCTCCCAGAAGCCTGCCTGACTGGGGCAAGCACCTTAATAGGGCTTTTGCATTTGCAGAAGGCTCCTAATCAGAGATGAAAGCAGTGCCTCCAGGCCTTCCGTTAAGCTTTCCCTGTGTTCCGGAAGGAAAGAATCCCCTAGATCACTCACGACACTCTTCTGTCTGGGTGAAAATTAATCTCCCTTCCTGGATGGATTCAAAAGCGGGTTGCTGGGCCAGCAAGAGCCACCTCCCTGGCGCCCGAGGAAGGACAACACCTTCCTGAGCTGGCCTGCCTCTGCGCTCAGGCCCGGTTCCTGGACAGAGCTCCGCAGGCGCCAAGATGGTCCTGGCCCAAGCGCTGGGTGTGAGAGCCGCTGGCTAACCCAGTCCCTCTGGTCTTTCTCTTTCTGATTAACGCGGGGAACAGTGGCAAGTCTGGGTCTGATGCCAGTGAGTTCCAACCGCTGGGGAAGGGCGCCACCTCCCAGTGTGAGCTGGTACTGCACACACCCCAAGCAACGGCGTCCTCAGCCCTCGCCTCCTTTCTCTTGCATGGCATTAACACAGATCAGGCCACAGCCACGTCCTCCCGGATCACACCCGCTTCCCACCGCACAAGGACAAAGACCATTTCTGTCAGGACAGCTCCAAAGCAAACCTGCCAAGCGCGCAAACCACCTCAGGAGCTGCAGACATGGAGAACAGCTGCCCCAAGCTCCAGGACAGAAGCCATTGCACAGCAGACGACACCTGCCCGGCACTGGGCACCTCCTGGGACCTCCCGCCACCTCCTGAGTATGAGCCTTCGCTGGGCAGAGGCTTCCCTGCACAGTCACTCCAGGTGCTGACTCAGGTGGGGTGGCTCTGCCACCACAGGCCCTGAGACCTGGCCAGGTCACCGTCCCCCGTGGCTCAGTCGTGGCCCTCCTCCCGCTTTCTGCTGAGGGTGAGGGCGTCACGCAGAGCGAGCATGGTGACCAGGAAGGCGATTGTCCACTTGACACAGGACAAGAAGGGCTCAGAGCGGGCCTTGGCCG